TATCAGAATTAAATATCTGAAGCAAGAAAACACAGCAACATGACATACAATTCCAATTAAAAGTTACCATTTAAAAAAATAATAAAATATTCCTCTACTCTAAAAGTTATTTTGCATGAAAAATGTCAAATCTCATATAGTCTTTAAGTGTCTGTGTCTTAACCAATTTTTCATTAATATAACAAAATACTCACTGTAGTATGAATAATAAAAACCCAGAGACAGATACTGAGGTTCAAGCTGAAGATCAGAAAAGCAAAGTGGTCTGCCACTAGCTCTTATCTCTACCTCAGACTGAAAGGGTGATCCCGTCATCACAAATCCTCAGACTCCAATCTCAGACTGCACTCTATCAAGGCTGGGGCGATCCTGTCCGCGGCGTGGCTAGAGACTGTATGCCACCTGAGACCCTGAGCTCCTGTCTTATATACGTCTCTAGTGCTGGGATTAAAGGCATCACCACCACCACCCAACCTCTATGGCTAACTAGTGTGGCTGCTGAGATTAAAGATGTGTTACCACCACTACCTAGCCTCTATGGCTGTGGCTACCTTAGCATTCTGATCTGCAGGCAAACTTTATTAGATCATCAACTATATCACCATAACTCAAGGCAGGGTACTTTACTAAAAAGGCAGTTTATCCAGCTCCGGGTCACAGCAGCTCACACTGGCTGTGTGTCCCTGGTAAGCACCTCATGATGGAAAGCATTGTTGTCAGCAGTGTACACAAGGATGCACCAAATCACCATACTGTGAAGCCAGAAATGCTTCTCAGGAGTGCCAACCACAACAACCTTAGTTCTGTTCACTCCTAAGTGATATAGGCATTTCCTGCTAAGTTCCAATCCTTACTTTTACCACATTGGGAAACATTTTTCAAATACCTTTGGAGGATACAGTCAAGCCATTTCCAAGCCAAAGCAGTCCATGCTGATGCAGTGTATTTGAACTACACTTACATCTACACTGCTTCACTAACACACCATAAGACAAGCATACACTGCCTGACACATTCAGTGTGAGAAATCCTCTAACTAGGCTAAGGATTCTGGTCTAAATGAAATGCCTATCAGAACTTAATAAAGCATATCACTTAGAGTTCCAAGCAGGAAGAATTACTGCTTGGTCATTATCACAGCCTGAGAGACAGACATCTGACACCCTGGAAGCCTATTGGTTCTGTACCAAATAGTGCATCCTGAAGTTGAGCTCCCAGGAAGCTCTGAGGAAGGATTTTTCTTAGCTATTCATTTAGCAACAAGAGGGAGACAAATGGTGTAACACTCTAGTTGAAAGTGTATAAAAGGAGAGCCTTCCTACATGAAACAGTATAAATTGGTGCCTCCTTCCTTTAGGGTTGTATATTCTTAATTCTTTTCATAAACTGTTAGTAGTATAGTTACTTTTTTGCCTTTTTTTCAGGAATATTCTTTTCACTAGTAAGTTTCCAATTATTTCAATGTATCTTCCTCACCTCAATCATAAGGTTACAACATAGCCCAAGGACAGAAGCACTGCATATTTTCAGAGGACCAATTCCAAAGTGTCCATTAGCAGAGTAGGTGTTGAACACACAGTGAGGATTCCCCACCAGAGCCAAGAAAACAGTTCTCCTGTTCTGATATGGGTTCACCATCTCAGATAAGATTTTAAGTAAAATGAAAACAAAAACATGCTTTTTGTGAAAAAACAAAGAAATAATTTCCTTACTCTTTTTTGGTTTTTTTCTTGTTTGTTTTTTTTGAAATAGAGTTTCTCTGTGTAACAGTGCTGTCCTGGAATTCATTCTGTAGACAAGGCTAGTCTTGAAATCACAGAGATCCACCTGCCTCTGCCATCTGAGTGTTGAAATTAAAGGTGTGTACAACCAATTTCCTTATTCTTTTTTTTAAAGTTGTACAGTAGAATGATAAATAAGAAATGACTTCAAAGAAACAGTTTGAGGTTCCTGCATCCCACCAGCCAAACTTTGACCATTACAAAGTGCATTAAAATTGCCCTGAGTTGAGAAAACATTAACAAATAAAAATCTAAAATCTAAGAGTGACATAAAAATTAATCATAAAAGCCCAAGAAGGAATAGTACCACTTGTGCAGAAAGAGCAGTTCAGGTAAGGACAATATGAAACTAAGAGGAGTACACAGTGTATAATGAGATGCTATAGCAGATAGTTACCCCTTTCTGTGGATAAGGCTACCACGGCACAAAGCAATTGCATTGTTTAGCCTATGAACATGTGTTTGACAGAAGTACCACATTTCTATGAAGATGAGTCCTCCAAGTAACTTTCTCAGTACACAGACACTCAGTGCAATCAATTATGGTATGTATTTTCTGCAAATCACACCGATATTAGGATGAATCAAAAGCAGATCACGTTCTTAAGTTACACTCTGTACAGAAAGGAGATAGAAAGAAGAGATGATGTGAAAGAGTGTGAAACTAACATACCTTTGTGGTGTATCTGGCGGTGGGGTGTGCAGTGTGACCAGGGAGGGCACTTGTCTGAGTAGGTCCATTCGTAGCCCTGTAGCAGCACACTGGGCATTCACATGGCAGTGGAAAAGGGGCATGGGCAGGTCATACGTAAAGAGGCCTAAGGTACCTAAGCAGTGCTACTGGGTGCACAGAGGTCTTGCATTTAAAAAAAGTTCAGCTAAAGCTTTCTGTATGTCCTTAACAGTTCAGTAGATGTCAGTCTGAGGCATGATTATCTGCCGTTAGGACAAGACTGGAGCTCAATGGAAACTCTCAGGAATCTATAAGGATGACCCTTCCACTTGAGGGAATGGGATCCCAACTCAATCACATAACTTTTGACCCACAATTGCACCCCCCAAGATATTCTGGGACAAAGGTGGCACAGAAATTATGGGAGTGGCCAGCCAGTGACTATGCAGCTTGAGACCCACACCATGAGAGGGAGCCCACTCTTGACAATTTCTGGAGGGTCAGGACCCAGAGACCTATGACAGAACCAAACATGACTGTCAAAAAAGTCAATGAAATAATGCCTAATGATATTCTGCTATATTCATAGATTGGTGCCTAGCCCAATTGATGCAAACACAGAAGCAGAGACCCACAGCCAAACATTAGGCAACATTGTGGGAGCCAGAAGGGCCAAGGATGTCACAAGAAAACCCACAGAATCAACTAACTTGGGATCACAGGGGTTCATAGAGACTGGACTGCCAACCAGAGAACTAAACTAGTTGCACTGGACTAACCTATACCTTATGTAAAATATGAGAGTTGTATAGCTTGGTCCTTTTGTGGACTCCTAACGGTGGGAGCAGGGACTGTCTCTGGCTCTGTTGCCTGCTCTTGGGACCCTTTCCTCCTGCTGGGTTGCCTATTCCAGTCTTAATAGGAGGGGAGGTACCTAGTCTTACTGCAATTTGATATACTACGGCTGGCTGATATACATGGGAGGACTTCCCTTTTCTGAAGAAAAAGGAGACAGAGTAGATTGGGGAGGGGTATTGGGGGTAAGGACTTAGAGGAGGGAGGGGAAAATGTGGTTGGGATAAATTAATTTTAAAAATCAAGCTGAATTAAAAAATTAAAGCTGAATCTATAATTTTTATTTTCTAATTCATTTATTTACTTTACATCCCAAACACAGCCTTTCCTCTCTCCTCCCTCTCCTCAGCAGGACTCCCCCTGAGCTCAGCCCAAGGTTTGGCCTTGGGTCTCTAAATATGCCTCCATCAAACACTGGATGAAGGCTTTCTAGTGACAACTGCGGTAGCCACCAATCCAGTCACTGGAGATTTCCAGTTCAGACTGTGCATATGCTGCTGCCAGGGGCCATAGCTGGGGCCATCCTTGTAGACTCATGGAAGTTTACAATGTATCAGGATTCTACCCCACTCAGTAAACCCCCCTTTTCCAGTCATCTCTCTCAGCACTTTCCCCCTCTAACCACCCCCCCCCCAAGCCAATCCCCAAGTTCCCATGCCCAGCCACCCCCAGTCCAGCCAGGAGATCTCTATACCATCATCCCAAAAAGGTAATTGGTGAAGCTTCCTTCAAACTCTCCCTTACTCTCTTTCATATTTGTGGCTTTTTAAAACACCTGTTGCTGTATGTGTGTGTTCCTACATGCATAAAAACTGTTGGCTTAATTTCTGTATAATGTTACCTATATGTGTACATGTTTTCAAGGTTGGCCCTTTGTTATTAGATAACCAATTGTTACATTCTTTGCTGGGAAGATGATTTCACTTATGCTCTCATTATTTCTTAGTTGCCTGTAGTTCTTTGCCTAGAGTTGACGCCTCCTGAGCATGCCATCTTGTGTGTCTACTGGTATCATCCTTGTTTAGGTCATGTTTAGGCAGCCATGTTAGTGAGGCAAGTTGTGGTGGCTGATCAGCTTTTGCAAGGATTACAGGCATCCTTGGTTCTTAAGGATTGTGGAAGACATACCTCTGTACAGTAACTGGGGGTGTTGTTTTAGCTGTGGTCTCTAGATAAGCATCACCATCACCTAAGAACTTACTTCTTTGGCCCCTAAACTTAAGGAACTCTGGTGTTGGGGCCTGAAGCCAGTAACTGAACAGAAAACCTGGTACTTGTGACTGCTGATGTTTTAATACAGGTGGGAAGTTGTGGGATGACTGTTTTCTTGTTTGAGTTCTCTCTGTTAAAACTGCCAAGAAGAGTGAGCCTAGTCCTGAAGATACTGGTTGGCTGTGCTCCTTAAGTAATTATTTAGCAACATTAGTTAAACCTGATGATTACAGGTGTGGCTTCTAAAGAGCCCCCCACCAAATGGAGTAGTCTACATGTGAAAGTAGTAATGCTTTAGTCCTAAAATGTTAAGTAACATTGGTCTCAATTCAAAAAAAGTTGGTGTTGTTTGTCTTTCCAGTTCTGGCTTTTCTAACCTTCATAAGAGGGTAAAGGAAACACCCTGTAGTGCTATTTACATAATATATGCATTGTACACTTATGCACTCAATAGTCTGAAACATTTTTCTGTATTTCAGGCCCAAACTGCTTTGCAGAAACTGCTGTCATCCCAGCTGGTAGAGAAGTGAAGACCGACGAATGCACCATATGTCACTGTACTTATGAGGAGGGTACGTGGAGAATTGAGCGGCAAGCCATGTGCACAAGACATGAATGCAGGCAAATGTAGACTTCACAATACAAAACTCTCATGTTTTTCTAGAATATTTTACTAATGTGACATTCTAGATGACTCTGAGCAATGTCAATCACAAAGAGAAGACTTTGGATAAGGACTCAAGGAGAATGGTTGGTACTTTTCCTTTTCTTGGTAACAATTACAGCAAGAGACAGAAATGGATGTATTTCAAATCATCAATAAGAACTTTGGACATAAACTCCCTCTCTAAATAAATGTGCTATTTTCACAGTAAGTACACTAAAGTCCACTATTATATATTAAATGTGTTTCTATAATCCCTCTATTAGAGTCTTATATATTAAAAATGCTGTTGTCAACCGTCCTCACTGTGTTAGCCTTCATTCCATCACAGGGGCTCCTGGTGGCAGCAGGAGTCTTTTACTCCTGCACATGGATACTACACCCTATGAAGGGACTCAGAAAATATTGACTGCTTTATATAAAAATCCTGTTCAAATGCTATTAAACTAATACTATGTATTTAAAGCTTGCCCGTAGGACACGATCTAATTCACATAAATAGGTTTCCATATTTTAGTAACCAATTTCTTTTATCAGTTCATTTGAGAAATGTAAGTATACAGATTGCTAGCATATACTTTTTCAGTTCTCATAGCAGTCCATAAATAAACACTTACCTGCATTTCATTTTCAGTCACGTTACCTATTTTTCTAAGCAACACTTGAGTTCATCCCCAGAGGAAAACGATGCTGGCACACCTATGCTAGAGCTCATGGAGCCGGAGCTGCTATGAAGCACTCTGCGAGTGTATGGGGCAGCTGTGACTGGATTCTCTGGAGAGTAGTTAAGGAAAGTCAAATCCCTGAACAAGCTTGTACGTGAAACAAAAAACATGCTATGGGCATCTCAGGCCTCAGTGCAATGCACACATACTGCTAGTTGAGGTAGATGTCTGTCCACAATAACAGACATAGCAAGACGATAAATCTGTCTTGCATCAAGAACAGTGCAGATAAAAGTAGAATTCTTTGTCCAATTATATTTAAACAAGTGAAGATGAAGGCTACAGTCATATATAATCCAAATTATCTTCATCTGAGCGTAGACTAATAATAAAAGCTGCTGCTAAGTGTTGCTGATTTGGCCACAGAGACTACAGAGGAGTTCCGTTTTTATGAACCACAACACTCGGTACTCTAGTGAGAGAGGCAGGCTGGGCCTTCGTATGTTTGAAGTAAGGTAACTATTTGCAAACTTTATACACATTTCCCTACATTTTTTCTAAATTTTAGAATTATGTACCTATTACACAAACATGTTTCCTTCATGTGCTTTTTTTCCTATAGCATTAAGAGGACTAAGAAATTACACTATATTATAAACCCTTGGGCTAGAAAATGAAAAGAGCACAGTGTATATACCCACAACCTGTCAATCTACAATAACTTCAATAACTTACTTCTGAATAACAGTCAATGACAATTGATGCATTTTTCATATATTGACATTTTAAATCATTATAGTAAGTACAAATAAATACTAGGGCATTTGTATATGCTTATATTTTTATCTTATTTTGAAGGATATCTTAGGTCAGGTGGACTAGCTTGTACATTAATTTCATTAAAATACTCAGGGGTATTTTAGCTAGTTACTCTCAGGTACCTGTTTTCAGCTTTCCAAAACATCTTAGGATGAAAGACTGCTAGGCATCATCCATCCCTTCATTATTTGTAGATTTTCTTGAGAAAAAAAGGTCATATAAGGTTAGCATCTTGCCAACAGATGACCCTGTCCTCTTGAAATCGACAGGCTACCGAGCTAGATATAACTACATACAACTTGCCTCTTCTCTGCAAATAAGACATGGTGAATTATGGCTCTAGGGTATGGGGCTCATTCTTCTTATTTCCCTTGGCAATACAAAAGGGAAAATAGGCTCTCAAATTATTGCAGTGGAAAAAATATAAATGCTATGAGGATGTCCACAAATCTCATTCTTCTGCAGAGAAAGTGAGCTCAATGTTGTCTGGGTAAACCACTGGGTCCCACTGTCTCAGGCACATTTCTGGGAGCTGGACTCAGTAACTGTGATTGCATTAGAGTAATACATCAAACATAAGACAAACTCGAAGAATCTCACTTCTCTGCACTGCAGATCCTAAGCAATGAAATTGTTATTTCTGTTTTTTAACTGGAAACTACTCCTCTTGCCAACCATTTAGTTTCAGGTCTGTACTGTTTCAGATATATACTTTTTTCTTCCCTGTATACACAAAATTCTGCTGAAGTTTTCAACAGTGAAACATAAGATAAATAATTTTAAGTGCATAGTAACTCTGGGATAAGATTAATTCAAGTTATTCAATTCCACAAGTCTCACAATTCAAATACACTTACTTTTTAAATGACACAATTCTCTAAAATTCTAATAGGCTTGCCCTATAAGGATGTCATAATTCTTAGGGATTTAACCAAATTTAACAGACAGTTGTGCTTACAAATCAATTATATGAAGTTATTTCTAAATCCCAACCTATGTTTAGGTATGAAAATATGAGCTATTCATGTGAGCCACAGAGTAGTTGCAGAAATAACACAATATGACTTTTAAGAAATTTACAAAGATAGGTTGTTTCCCTTTTGGGTACATCTGATGTTTTAGTTTCTAAGTATGGATCTTGTTTTCATTTGGTTATTTTGAGGATCCTAATTTTACAGAACAGCCAACCCTCTCAGAATGGTTGTCTTTAAAATCAGCCGGGGCTATGGCAGGACACAGTCCTCTGTTAGCAGTGGCTACTGACGCCCCTTCTCTAAACTGTTCTAAGATGCTCAGTTCTTTTCAGTACTAGAAGGCCTCAGATTGGCGCCCAAGGGGACACTTAGACGGATTGCTGAGAGCAAGAATTTATTAGGAAAGTTACTAATGCTGTGGACAGGCAGACAGTTAGGGACAGCATAAAAGGGACTGTGAGAGGGTTCAGTCCCAGCACCACACAGACAACACAGCAGGGGTTCTGGAGAAAGGAAATCAAATCTCAGCAGCAGAAGCCAGGGCCTCACAGTTTTCTGGAGGGGGCAGTGCACATAAGAGCACAAGTCTCCAGCCAGGTTCTGATCCCTGTGCTGGAGGCTGGAGGTGGGGATGGATGGGAAACGGAACCTGTGGCCACCAATACCCCATTTGCTGGACACTCAGTCCCCGAGGGACAGATCATGGAACCTGAGTCTCTTAGCTAGAAACGCAGAGACAGTGCCTAGGCTGGGTACCTGAAGGAATCTGTGAAAGAGGAAGGGGGCTGTGTGCACTGTATTCTGGGCAGCAGCTGATTCTAACATTGCATTCCTACAAGTATTTTGGGGAAGCCGTCACTTGGCCAGCTCACATGTCATGACCTTTGTGGAGGGTTCTGTAGTAATTAAGGGAATTAGACTGCCATTCTAAGTCTCTGTCACAGCACTAGCTTGGTGTCACTTTAGCACACATTTTAAAACTGTATCATAAGCCAAAAACTTAGGTGGCTAAGTGGAAGTGTGCTTGCCTATCATGCACACGGACCTCAGTTTTGTTTTTAGCATCACTAAAAAGATAATTGTATCAATTAACAGCTGGGATGTACCCCAATGATAAAGGAACTGCCTCATATGGAGAAAACCCCATTCAATCTACCGTAGCATTTAAAAAGAAATTTGGATCACAGCTAGCAGTTAATTGTATGTGCTTTCCCCTCTTATTTCTAAATATGTTGGATTTACACTTCCTCAGTCATCACCTAATAATGTTCTGTTCAGTTTGCTGAACTACACGCAACCCACTATACCTGTGTATCAATCAAACAGTGGTGGGAAGCTCCCACTGTCCTTTGCCTGCCCAGGTGTATTCTTTTTTCAGACTTTAGGACATTCACACACCCAGAATGCAGACCACAACCTCCCCCATATCAAATCCATCACCGCTGAGTGGTTGAGGATGGATGTGACAATCGATGGCGAGTTCTATAAAACTCAGGACAAACTTAAGGACACTTAAGAAAGTGTCTAATGGCTGGGCGGTGGTGGCGCATGCCTTTAATCCCACCACTCGGGAGGCAGAGGCAGGCAGATCTCTGTGAGTTTGAGGCCAGGCTGGACCGACAGCCTCCAAAACAATACAGAGAAACCCTGTCTCGTAAAACCAAAAAAAAAAAAAATTAAAAAAAGTGTCTAATGAAAACATAATGATACTTATAATAAAAACGTTTACAGCTTTGGTATTTCCTTGTTTATGCTATTTTTAAATAAAAAGTTCACACCCTAGACTTTATTTTAGGACTCTGAGTATTTATGTCTCTCTGTGTTTCTGTGTAATCCGACAGAGCACTGCAGCTGGTTTCTATGGACCTGACACTAAATCAGTGAGTGCCATTGTACACACAGAAACACAGGAGCTCCAAGTCTGCTGGAAAAGGTGTTTAAAATCGATGGTTGTTGCTATTTCAACTTGGTGCCAAACTTCACTCTCACTTGTAAAGCATCTACTGTTTTTGTTTTACCACAAAAAAAAATCATGTAGACAAAAGACTAATTTTAAATGCCTACCTGTGAGCTGAATGAAAATTCCACCAACTTCTAAATGATACTGACAATCAGGGTGAGAATATTCACTCAAGGATTCAGTAACACAAAAACTTAAATGAAGATGTGTTCTTGGCAGTCTATGATGCATGAAATGCATACCTGCGATTCTCTAACAAGGACATAAAACCCATAATACAGATACCATGATATCAAATACAATCAATGAGTACACCTGAAGTCATTTATTAAATTATTGCTGCAGCCTGTTAACTAAAAATAATCCTAAGTATCTCCTCTTTAGCTAGAATTCAATTTTCAGGAAGTAGAAACATTTCCCAATTTGACTTAATATTTTAAAATATTTTATTTGAATTTTCTGAAATTTCTGAAATTTACACTTCAATGTTTTCTAGAGACATTTATGAAAATGTTCACTTGCCTATTCTCTTTATTGTTTTACATTCTAAACTAAATGCAATTCTATTTTATTTTTATTTGTCTATACAGTTATTTAACTCTTTAAACTTATAATACCACAAAAGTGGCTAGCAGTGTCCTCACTCAGGACACTGAGACAGTCTAGAAAACACATAAAGATTCAGCCTAGTGACTGAGTGTGCAGAATTCAAGTTTGCTTTATACGAGAACCTGTGACACAAAGTCTTGTCATGCAAGTTTAGACAAATGACCTCTAGAAATGAGATACAGTACCCAAGTGCCCTTTCTTTGGCCTACTCCCGAGACGCACAGGGAATGAACAGCACCATGCTCTCCTAATTCAACTGCGCAGTCCTGACACT